TTTGTCAGAAGGAGAGACAAAAGTTATTTGTTGCAGGCCTTCATGCAGAAGAAAGTAGACAGCATGCTGCAAGGATCTCTGGAAAACAATAGGCTGTATTAATAGGTGACACTTTATAGAGATAAGGAGAAATTAACCCAAAACAAACATAATTTGAGATCTAATATTACATTCCAAAATATTCAAAAAATTTAAAGTTATTCTTTGTCGTATCTGCCTAGTAGCTTGAAGCTGCTTAATATTCCAGGTCTAACCATCAGAAGATAGGGACATCTTCAACTCAAAATGAGAAAAGCTGATGACTAGAACAGCCATGAGTGGTATCAGAATTATTTTCTAATAATAGGCCTAGACTCATAACACCTGCAAGCCCTACAGTATCAGAAAACATTGCTAGGGCTTGTGTCTAACACAAATTTTCTTCTCAGAAAGAAATCTGAGAGCACATGTTCATGAGCTGAACTTCACCCAAGCATAAATAAGAGCAAACATCCTCTTTAGCTTCATGTTAAAGGTCATTTTTCTTCAAAAGCTGTCAGGTGCCTGATCACAGCCAGCAATTTTTCAAGCAGATAAATCAAGATTTTTTCATTAAGGGAGATGATAATAGAACTACACTGATTAATTAAGAGTAATCCAGAATAAGTTTAAATACTAAAAGGAAAGATCAATAATGCCAATGTATCAAACATGTGGTATGTTCAATTAAAGGTATTCACTACCTATTCATTCAATGGCAGATTATGGAGCCACAATTATGCATTATTTCAAGCAAGAATTTATATCTCTTTATCTAAGAAAAAAATATCTGTGGTTATATTTGCTGTTGTAGAGAACTGATTTCTAGAGAACTGATTTCAAAAACTGAGACAGCTTTTAAAGTTTTTCTCAGTTAATGTTATTTCAGGTTTCCCTGCAACATTTCTTTTTTCACCCCAGTAGACAAAGAGCATTATTTAAGTTTTGGAAAAGTCTTCATTGGAGATTCCTTAACAATAAAAAAAAAAATTAAACCTTATGGCCCCTTCTACAGATGTGCTGCTGGCTATTTGCACAATTAATACAAGAACATGAAATGGGATTCAGGAGAAAAGAATAGCACAAAAAGTGCTTGGATGTAACAGCAAGAGCTGTACCACTGGGAAGAAAGTGTGACAGGCCAGGAGCTCTATCAATGGCACCTCTGCTTCCCCAGGGAGTCCCACAGAGGCTGAGCTGGCAGCTGCTGCTGCCCCAGCTGCACCTGCTGAGGAGGAGCCCCCTGAGCCTCTGGCTCCTGAGGTGGAAAAGGCACCAGATTCTCCTGCCCTCAGTGAGGAGGTGCCATTGGCCAGGACAGAGAGCCCAGTCCCCTGTACCACACAGCCCCCCCAGGCTGCAGCCAGGCTCTGCCAGATTATTATCATGGAACATTAACATGAGCAAGGCTGTGCTGGAAATCCAGGCACCTGGCCACCAGCCAGCAGAACAGAGGGACCTGGAGCAGAGCATGGCTGCACAACTAGAAGCAGCAGTTCCAGCAAGAAGGGAAGAGACACAAGTCTCTATCCTGCACAGCCCCTGATGCCCCCACAGCCCTTCCCCAAGCCCCCTGAGAGCACACACCCTCAGTGAGCAGCAGGAGGAGGCAGAAAGGGGGTCAGTTACTGCCACAGGAAGACAGCGAGAAGGGGGCTTGGCTAGTGAGCTTCTTCCCCAGTAGGATGAGGAGGAAGACTGAAAGCTATCTAAAGGAGTAAGGAACAAATACCAAGTGACACAAGAATTACCAAGGGGAAGCTTGCACTGAGTCAGAGTTGACCCCAGGAGAAACAGTTGTCACAAGGAAATTTCCAAGGGGGAAGCCTACACAGAGCAAAAGCTGACACAGAAGAAGCTGGCAGCTACCAGAATGTAGCCCAAGGGGAAGCCTTCAGTGCACCTGAGCTGACACCAGGGAATGATGGTAGGAATCAGGAAGTGTTTAAGGGGAAGTCTGCAGTGAGCCAGAGCTGAACTTGGAGATGCTGGTAGCTACCAAGAAGTTTCCCACGGGGAAGCCTGCAGTGAGCCAGAGCTGACCCCAGGGAACGACAGGAGGTACCCACAAGGGTCCCAATGGGAAGCCTGAAGTGAACCAGAGGTGACCACAGGAGATGCTGATAGCTACTGGGAAGTATCCTGGGGAAGCCTACACTGAGCAGGAGCTGATGCCTGGACAAGCTGGTACCTACCAGCAGATATCCGAACGGGAGGACTGCAGTGAGCCAGAGCTGTCCTAAGGAGATGCCGGTAGCTTCCAAGAACAGCCCAACTGGGACAAATACATCGAGCAAGAGCTGTCCCAAGCAGGTATCAATAGCTACCAGGAATTTTCTGATTGGGGAAAATCTATTTAGCAATGACTGTCCCTAGAAGCTGGTAGCTACCATGAACTCTCTGGCTGGGATGAATGCAACAAGGCAGAGGTGTCCCACAGAGGACAGGCAGGGAGCTACCAAGAACTGTCTGATTGGGAAGAATCCATTGGCCAAGAGCTTTTGGAAGAGGAAGGCTCCATTGGCCAGGATGTGCAGAAAGGGAATGGTAATCGACTGTCTGTGCTGCCCAGCTGGGAAGATGTCAGTGACAAAGAGCTCATGCTGGGACAACTGGGAACATGTGAGGCTCCAGAGTATTGGGGTCAAGCCCTTGCTGCGGGAGGAGGATGAGTGGGATGAAGTGAGTGTCCTCAAGCTGTGCAAGGAAGACGGAGAGAAAAGACTGGGAGGTTTTGCAGGAGATGGTCTTCCAAACTTGCTGTGAGTACCTCAGTCCCTCTGTCAATATCACCAACAAAGATGTTAAACAGCGCTGGTCCTAGCATTGGCCCCTGAGGATGCCTCTTTATCACTGATGTCAAATTGGACATCAAACCACTGACCACAAACCTTTCAGTGTGACCTTCCAGCCAATTCCTTATCCACCAAGTGATCCATCCATCAAATCCATCTCTCCAGTTTACAGAAAAGGATGTCATGTAGACACTGTCAAACGCTTTGCACATGTCCAGGCAGATGACATCAGTTACTCCTCCCTCATCCATTAACACTGTTATCCCTTTGTTCTCTCAGTCCCTGACTTTTCCTTTTGTCACTTGGGTGGTGTAGCTGTAGCACTCACCAGTGAACAGAGACAAAATAGACATTGAGTATATCAGCTTTCTTCTTAGCCTAGGCAATCAGTTCTCCCATTTCCTTTCAGAGCAGTCTGACATTTTCCCTAGTCTCCCTTTTATCTCCAACATACTCCTTCATGATGCATTTTTACTTAGAGCCTGTTCAAAGGCAGAAGGTGGGAAACTGATCTAGAGGCACTAACCATATCAGAAGACCCAGCTCTCACACTGGGTCATCTTACCAAGCATATGATGATGCTCAGAGACTGCCACACTAGTACCATTACACCTCTAGAAGTTCTTCCAGGAATATCTAATTAAACTGGAGTTTTCTGTGGCAAGCCTGTGCATGTGGCACAGACCTTGCACTATCTCACTACTGCCATCCAGCCCTCTGACTGCACAAGCCCCTTCTGAAGCAACAGATATGTACCCAAAGGAGCAGCCACCCACCACAGTAACTTGTCCTGGAGTAAGAAAATCTAATGAGGCACTTGCTACCCACTCTCCTCAAGGAACAGGTAGTGAGTGGCAGCTTAGAAACTTTTCCAGAGGAAACAGCTTTTAATAAAAGAGGGTTTAACTGTCTGGAGAAGTATCACAGTATTTCTAAAGAATGTGAAAGAAAAATAAAACTATTCCATGGGGATTTTTCTTCATTATCACTCCACCCGGAGAAGTGAGCACACAATGAGTAAAGGTCTGCACATATTGATTTTAGAGTTGGGGATGTGTGTAGCTAACAGCTTTTAAAGAATCTCAATTTTCAGTTACTTCAACAAAATTACCAGCAAACAAAGTGAAAGTTACTGTAGGAAACTGCAGACTAAAAATGATCATTTAGGTTTGAAATGTTTCCTTTCATTGAAAGTAGAGGGCTTTCAAAAGCAGGAGTTACTGTGGGCGTTTGGCAGCGTTGTCTTCACCAGACATTTCCCAAGCCACAGCCTGTCCCTCTTTCAGAACCATGATTTTTACAGTTTTGTTGCGTGGAGACTTAGGGCCGAGGAGCGCCTGCTCGGGGCCTCCTGACTTGGGGGGCCGGGCTCTGAGGAACCGAGCTGTGCCAAGCCGAAGCAGCCACGGCTCCCAGCCCGGGATGTTGCCGGGCGGGTCAGGGGGAGCAGAGCCCCGGGACGCTGAGGGCCGGGCAGAGCGCCCTGGGGCGCGGCTGCCTGGGAACCAGGGCGGGAAGGGCCGGGCTCTGCTGGCTCCGGTGCCCGGCAGCGGCGCCGCGATGGAGGCGGGCGAGTAGCGGGGGCGGAAAGAGAGCGGGTACTGCCGAGGGCACCGAGTGCCCGGACGCAGGAAGGGCTGAAGGCCGCGTTCCCCCTGCGCCACGGGGGTCTCTATTGGGAGCTGCCTGCGCGGGCGGCGGAAGCAGCCGGAGGGGCCGGAGCGGCCTCTCCTGGCCCCGGCGAGGGGCGGCGGAGGCGCCGTGAGTGTGCCCGCCGTGCCCGAGCCCCCTCCCAGGCCTTGCCCTCGGGTCAGGGGGTGCAGCGTCCTCTGCGGTGACAATTCTGTGACTCCCATCTGGCCCGGGCAAGGATGCCATTTTTCTGGTAAGTTCGTGTCCGCAGCAGCCGGGCTTCTTGTTTGGACCTGAAAAACCAAAGCGGCCCACAGTGGGCGTCCCTAACAAAAGTGCTCAGCACTGATGACTGGGGCCAGCAGGGACAAGAGACTGGGTGCTGTTCGCACTGCAGCTGCTCATGCAAGGCCCTGGAAGTGCTCATGGACTTCACTGGAAGGGCCGAGAATCAGAACAATTTTATCTGTTCCCACTCGACAAAATATTGTTGGCAGTAATGAAACCTCAGTTAGTGTCAGTACTGGAATTGCCAATACTACAATAGTAAGCTGCTTTTGACAAAAATTATTTCTTGTATGTTCTTTGATGGGAAAGTGGCTGTGGAATTGAACTATTTCATTCCATCTTATACTGCTTCCCATCTCCAAGTGTTTTGCCATCACTAGTGGAAGGGACTAGAGCTGGTAACACCTTTCCTTGCTGGTTGGCATGTACCTTTACTTTGTAGCTCTTAGTGTTTCCTATTTTTCCCATTTGGTAAGTCGTGGTTTGGTGACTTTCTGATAACCAGACAAAATAATCACACTAGGAAGGAGGTATATAGTAAACCTCGGGTAGCAACTTAATCCCTTTTCTAAACCAACATTGGTGTCTATTAACTACAAACACGAGACCCAAAGATCCTGGATTTTGATAGTTCATCAGGCCCATTGCAGACCACACTGAAAGAAGAAAGAGAACTGTGCCTACCAGAAGGCTTGGTTTCCAACTTTCTCACAGGGCTCAAATCTTGCTGGAACATAGAAATCATAGAATATGCTGAGTTGGAAGGGACCCATAATGGATTTGTTCAGTGGTGAATTTAATTGAAGTGCATTTCATGGAATAAAAACCTCTTTGTCTGGAAATTGACTTTTAATGAAATTCTTTCTCGCTCATTTAAGGCTAACTACTTGTCTAAATGTTCAAAAGCTCCAGTAAATATGCAAATTAGTTGGAAGAAAAGTTCTTGATGGAGCTGGTCAGCCAATATTAGAAGTGGAAATATACTGTACAGTTAAAAAAATATGAGAAGGTATGAGCTTCTTTTTCCTGTTTTATTTATTTTACCAGGAAAATATCAGGGAGAGGTACTGTTCTTCTCTACATCCCAAGAAGCATTTTATTTTCCACATTCATGATGAAAAATAAATCCCTGTGACTCAACATTTGAGTATTGTAACTTGGACAAAAAAAGGTGTCATGAAAAGTTAGTGGCAGCAACTATGAAAGCTTTATTTTCCATTAATTAGACAATATTTTATGAGTGGGATCTGATATAATACCTTTGTATGTATATCTTTTTCTGTTTTAATGATCACATAGGTTTTTTCTTACACTCCATAATTACACCTTATAATTTATATTTTTCTTTAATTTTCAGGTCCTTATGTCTCTCTTTGTGTAACACTCTTGCAGGAAAATTCAGTACAGGTGAAGGCACTTCTTTTACACTGAGCTGATAGGTTGTTGTGGGTGATAGTAAACTCAAACATAATCCATGTAGCACCTGCAGTGCAAAATTAATGACTCATCTCCACCCCACCCTGAAATATTCAAGTTAGGGCTTTGCAGTTCTAGCTTTTGTGGAGTAATAATTTCTAATTTCCCTAAGTTAAACTCTGGTTCACTTCATTCTTGAATGACATGTAACTTCATAGATATTCACTGGATCTGAAGCTAATACTGTTAATGCAGGCAGCTCTGTGAAGTTTGTAAAGGGAATTTTCTTAATATCATTTATTCTTCATCTGTACAGAAAAATAGTTTTAAATTATCTAAGACAAAAGTATCTGATCATGAGAGATGTCCTTAAGCATGAGTGCTGATAGATCATGGTACAATGGGCTACCAAAAGCTACAATAAAAGGTGTCCTAATGACTGTATGGCCCTTAAAATAGCTCCATTCTATTCTAACAGCAGAATATGTATCTATAAAGCAGATCTGTCAGAGAGTTTTTGCCCATGTAGTTATAATTTAGGTTAAAAAAATTGAATATCTGCAATTACCAAAGTATAAGAGGCTACAAATAAGGTGCTGAATGAGAAAAGATAAGTGGACCAAATAGATGTGGAGATATGTATTTGTAGTGTTGGTAAGAACATACTTCTTAGTCTTTCAAATGACATTTCCAAGTTAGAAATTAATATTTTAAAACTTTTTACATTGTTTTGCTATTTGTAGGTTTTTTCCAGAGGATTTGTTCCACTGTAATGGCTACTCATTCTCAAAAAACTGAAAATGCTTTACCTGAAAAATCTAAACTGATGAGAAAGAAAGAAATTTCTGTGTTCGTTCTGCTGTGGAATGGGTCAGTGAATCAGTGAACACAATGTTAAGAGACTTGCAGCCTACTGACCAGTGTCAAGCTGATAAGATGCTTGGGTAGATCTTGAATATTATGAAAATTATTGCACTTGAAATATACACTAATTATTTATATTTTTAATGGAAAGCATATAGAATATTCCATGTTTTCTATTATTAGTTTTTATATTTTTAGGATGTAATGTCTGTCTCAGATCCATTCTTCTACATTGCCTGCTGTTTATAATTATGTTAAAAACATGCTGTTTTGGGCTGCCACACTGACCACAGACTGTAGCAAACAGACCTAATTACCTTCCATTTGGACTAGATTTGGGAGAACATTTGCTTCCTTAAGTGTTAGCTTTCATATTTTTCAGATTCTGTGCTGCCTAGGTGTGTAGTTTTGAGTTTCATATTAAGTATTAGCAAGCTCTCTTCACACAGTAGGTAGATCAAACAATTCTTTTTCTAGCTTGATACCAAGGACAATCACTAGAAGTTTCAGGCCCAAAAGCATAAACAGAGGTGGACTGAAGAGAGAAAACAAGAAGGATGGGACTTCATAATCAGAAGATGTAATTGGATAATGAATCCCAATATGCAGATGGACTAAAACTTATAAAAATGTGAGAGCTTGTGACCAGTCATTGATTTTGTGACCATATTTAGGTCCATCTTGGGTGTAGCCCTTGTACTGCCCAAGGTGTGTCCTTTAAGGCCTTTCAATAAATACTACTTTACTCTTAATTCAAGGTCAGCCTTCTCAGGACATCACCTTGATAAAGGGAATAAGGAGTCAATTGGAAAGTGAGTCTAAGTAAGATTTGAACACACTGTTTACTTTATATATTTTACATACTCAGTTTGCCTGAATTGGCTGTCTATGACCCTTGGGTGAAGTTTCCACTTCAGGCATGTAACTGGAATTCTGCCACTTCTGAGTCTGCAGTCACACAATAACCAGAACTGACCTACTGGCTTAGCAACCAAAGCCAGGCTGTGGGATGTCGTGGAGTTAAGACAGGATCTGTTACTACCCGTGCAAAACAAATACATCCTTCGTGCTCAGATTGTCTGCTCAGAGCTGACTTTCAAACCAGAGTGGTTTGCTAAGCATGAGCTAAGGTTTGTGATACTTACTGGTGGTTCTTTTTGTTTAATCAATGCTGCAGATGACTACCAAAAAAGAATTATATAAGCTTATGGACTTCCCCAGCTTCACACAGTGAGTCTATGGCAGAAGCTCAAATACATGCTCAAATCTACCTCCTAGCATGTATCACATGTGTCTACTTGTCACACCTAAGATTATTTGGAACCAATAATTTCTATGCCTCTTCCCTCAGTGAATACTTTGCAAACAAATAGAAGAAAAAAAGCAATTTCAAAAGCAAGAAGGAGAAGAAGAAGAAGCAAAAGACACTCTCGCCCCTACATCAAGCACTCGACCCTCAACACCTAAGAAAGAAAGAGGAAAACCAGGTTTTACTTTATTTGATTTTAATATTTTCTGCAATACATATATTTATAAAGGTCCTAAAAGACACCCTGTCTCATGTTCTAAGGGTTGGGTTACTCTCTCCTAACTTTTCTGACTAGAGCAGTTTCTGCAGCAAAATGAAAGAGAAGTATCTGTATCTGAAAGGGAAATAAATTCCTATGAAATTATTGTAAGACTGTGGATGTGTAATATTTAAAAGACCTGTTTTCTCTTTGGAAGTGCCAGCTGAAATAGGCCTAAATTTTTTTCTCATTCATTATTATAGGAAATCAAGTATGTGTACTCCCATTCAGTATAAATCAACTGACAAAATTAAGTTTTTGAAAAGTAAATTGTTAATTTTTAATACATTGAGCACACACTGAAATGGCAATACTGTATTTACTCCCATAACTGTGATACACAAGCATATGTTCAGAACCAAGAAAATACTTAGCTACTACTCTGTCTCTTAGGAAAGATAGTGTCAGTGGAAGAGAAGCCCTGCTGCAGAACCTGTTGAATCAGTGCTGTGTGGCAGCTTTCCTGTTGGGAGAACATCACTTACCATAGCAAAGGCTGGGGTCACCGTTAGCAATATCCCATTGTACATATATATTGCACTGCTGAAACATGAGCAGGGACATATGACTTCTGTCATTTGGGTTTTTTATCCCAGTTATCATAATTATTGCAGAATTCTGAAGTCAGTTGTGACAGTATTATTAAATACAGCCCTCACCCCATTGCCTGTAGCAGTCTTTGGACCCTGTGCCATACTTAAAATATGTCAGAAATTACTCTGATTCTTTATTTTCACCTGGCATTCCCAATTACTGGAGTTGCCTAAAGAAACCTCTCCCAATGGTTATTCTGTTGAGCTGTGAAAAAATGTCACCTGCAAAACTGAAATTAGTGAAAGAAGTTATGCTTATTCCACGAGTTATCACTCAAACAGGTACTGCTTCATTTTTGCTTTTTATTAATGTATTCTATAGACATCATTCTAGCTATACATGTACATAAGCATATAGGTATTTTTAATATAGTTCTTACAAACTATATTTTTCATGTTTTGTTATCTTGTAAAGCCAAACTTTTAACAAATGCTAGTGCAGAATTCTAGCATCCATAACATTAAATTAATTAAAAAGATGATTTAAAAGAAGAACCATGAAGATTTAAGTTAAAACATATGTTAATTTAGAGGAATTGCATTGAAGATGGTGTTAAGCAATTGTGTTACACAAAAATAGATTTGCATTAGTAGATGATAAATATTAATTGTTGGTTGATATACCATAGAAAACAACAAAACATTCAGCAAATTCCCAGGAAATCTTAAAATATTTGGAAATAGGTTGCTTTCAAATGAAATTGTGACACTAGAAGGGAATTCAGAGAGCAAGAAGATTGTGTGAGACAGATGGGATCAACCCTCTCTTATTTTGTTTAGCCATGTGTTGCATTAAAGAATGCATCTGCACAATATGCCTACATTAGGGCTGTGATTTCAAGTTTGTGTGCTGGTGATGTGAACAAATAGCTGAGCCCAATTCTCTTTCTTTTTGTTTTTCCTTTAACTTTTCCAAATTATCCCCCAGAGCTGTTAATAAAGTCACCTATTAACAATATAAAAATTTTGAAAGTTAACAAAGTTCTTTAAATGCGTTTAAGCAAGACATTCATCCTCGTCATTTAATCATGTGCTTGCATTCCTATAAAATTATTGAAGTCTATTATCTGTGAAGGAGTTATGATGACTAGATAAAACAGATTTTTAAAACTCATTTTATTTTCTTTTCACTATGATGATTCTATTTTTTTTTTCTCTATAGTCTTTCTACTATTCTTCCCCTTCCTTTTTTTTTTCTGTTCACTCTTGAATACAATAATTGTAATAACAGTAAGTCATGCTCTCAAAACCTACATGGTGTCCTTGTAATGAATCAGGAGATTAGGAAAGTGGTTGCAGCAACTTTTTTTGAACCTAAAATAATCTATCTCCTGGAGGACTGTTCAGTCATGTAATGAATAGAATTGTATAGAAATATTGTTTTATTAATACCTGGAAAATAAATCAGAGACAGGGATTAGACCAGTATTTGCAGTGCCTGTGATTAGGATTGGCTTTTTTCCCAGTCAAAGAAGTCAAATGCCTTCAATATTATCAAGAACTAATACTGTGTTGAAAAGGCAATAGATTTTGTTAACTTATCAAAGTGGATCTGCACATTCAGATCTAAATGAAAGATACTTCATTTATAATCATCTCCTCTTTTCTATAACTGCATATCCATTAGTTTAGCTCTTTCTTATCACATAACTGAAAATGAGTTTGCTCATGTTTTTATCATTATTTGCAAGCAATTCAGTGAGAAAAGAATGCCTAAATTCTCTTTTCAATTTCAGGTTCCTTGGTCCTTGAAAAAGGCATTTCCGTGGTGTGGCAGCTGAAATAGATCAACTAATCCCAGTGATGGAAGAGTGTTCTTGAAGCCCTCATATGAGTTAGTGAACTGTGGTAAAGAATGGTAGGAAACATACCCTGAGCTGGTATCCTGGTAAGAACTACTGACGTTTCATCTCTGCAGTTGCATGCTATTCAGTGGCCATCGTTAACAGAAGGTTTTGTTTTGGGGCGCAACTGAGTGTCCACCATGGAAAATAAATAAATTAATAAAGTACTAGGGTGAAAGAGCAAGTGTGTATTTCTGTTACTAAAAGATTAAGTCTGTCTCCCATGAAGGCAGAGAGTTCTCCTTGCAAAATCATTAATATGTTTCTGGAATAAGTCTACACTGCCCTTCTGTGCCAGACCCCTTCCTGCACTGTAACTGGCAGTGACAGGGACATTACCTAGAGCAGCTTTAAACTAGTTTTTCATATGAAGAAGCTTCTCTTAGTTTGTACTGCCTCAAAAAATGAGCTGAAATGCAAGAGACCCTGCAACACACTGTCCAAAGATTACTGACTAGCAATTAGCTAATTGTCTGGCAGACATATATAGAAGGACAACCAATTTGTTCTGCAAATAGTAAAAAACTTGTAGTGATAGGGAGCAGCTGCCAATGAACCAGCATCTGGAGCTTTCAGCAAAGGCACACAAGGCTTTTGTCCAATTCGTTGTATGAGCCTGCTTCTTCAAAAGATAGTCTCAGAAGTACTTTCTCTGCCTATGTCATGGAAGCTGTTGCAGAAAATACCTGGATGTTCCCTGGAGCATAGGTCATGGAGGATTTGGGCTGACTGGTTTTCATTGACCATGTACTGAGAGATTATAATATCCACCATGTTCTGCTAGAATCAACATATTTACTAATTTTTAGAAAATTAAGGTATCAGATGATTTGTGCACAATGTGCAGGTTTCCTCCCTTCCCAGTTTCTTCCAGGGGATGAACGCTCCAGAGAGTGCTGCGTGTGTCAGGCAGCATCACCTAGAAATAAGCAACCTTCCTCCTTGCTGGGAAGCTAGATCTTTTTCACAGAAAACAATATACAGTAAATTGAAAACAAATCAAACTGATACAGCAGCTGCCAGAAGCCCCACAGGTTCTGCACAGTTTTATCACAGAGTCATTATCTCCTAGTGCAGCTGTCTTCCTTGAAGCTATGAAAGCTTCTGCATGGCCAAAAGGCATATGTGACAGCAGCCTACAGACACACTCACAGGTAGCTTCAGCTTCCCTTAACCCAACTTCCTCCAAGATCACTGCTGCCTGTTCCATATCTTCAGGCTGACCAATCCCAAGTCACTGGTTGGTTTCATCTGCCTATTCCTGTGTGTCCTCTCATGTCCCTGTGACTGTATGACAGCTTCTTGGCATCTCCCTATTCTTCACAGCTGGTCTGTCTTTTAACACCTACTTCACTCTAGGTAATGCTGGCAAGCAAATTAATCATTCTTTCCTTCCTCTCCCATTCACTTTAGTCATTTACCCAAGCCAAGATAGTCACAAGCAGATTGCTGTCTGATTTTTTAGTGGGTAAGATTTAAGATCTACGATTCAGTACAATGTGTGGAAACTGCTCATGGTTCACACTGTGCTAGGATCATTGGCTTCCCTGACAGGTTTATTGGAACACATGCTTTATAAAAGCTAAACCAAAGGGTGGAAGGTAAGATGGGAGCATAACCTATGCATGTTAATCAGAAATCTAATTTGAGTATTATCAGTCTTAAACTCATTGTGAATCCCCAGAGAAGGTGGTAGATTGGAAGAGTACACTGCTGAAAAACATTTAGGTGTTGAAACTCACTGCATAGGTTTCAACTCCTTGTCTACTTTCTACATTGGTGCCTGTTGTGATGCTTTTCTGATTTTTAAAATACCAAAAGGGGCATTCAGGGAATACTTCCACTCAGTGATGACCACTGTCTTTGTATCTTAGACAGCTGCAGTCACCTGAGTCATGAGTGATGGACTAAAGCACTGCTACTGTTGGTCCACCACATTGCTGTTGACACACAGAAAGAACACCCCTTTGCCAAACAGATAATATTATTATTTTTGCATGGTTGACTCTTCATTTCTTCCTCCCAAGAAAAATCTTCTCATTGCTTATATTGATTAAAAAACGTCAGCATAACAAAAGAGTTGGCTTTAGGCAAACAGCTAGAGGATTAATTACTTGAGAGGAACATATAATTGGACACCTTTTTGGTCAGTTCAGAGTACATGAATGCTTTGGAAATCCTGCATCAAAATAGATTCTTTTTCTGCAGAGCCAGAATATCTGCCAAAAACTAGTAAAAAGCCATGATTCTGCTTAAAAGTGCTACATCAAAAACTTCTGAAAAAAATAAAAAAATAGGTTTGAGGTTGATTATGAAATACTGTTCTGGGGAAATGAACTGGCAAAAAGTTTGAGAGGCCAGTTTTTACAGATTAAGTAACTCCAAATCCCATTCAGCTATGTCAACTAAAAATTTAATCCTTCATGGATTGCTACCAAAATGTGAAATTCACACTCTTGGAGAAAAAGCCTTAATTTGAAAAGCTACCACGGTATGTACTAATCAGCTCTCTTCTTGAGAGTCATGACAGATATGCCAACAGCTGAATGAGCATGAAGTCTGGGAACAAGGAGACTGCTGACAGTTTTTGGAAATACAAGGTCCATCTGAGAAAAAATATTATATATTCTAGATAATGAATATTGTATTTAGGGGAGAGGACTAAGGCTAATATATGCAAACTAGGGACTAGGCTTCTGACTTTCCCCCTTCTTTTTTACATAATAACCACCTTTCTGCATATTATTCTTTCCTTTTTAACAGCTGAATAGAATATTTTATAGATAGGGGATGACAAATGAAGAAACAAACTTTTTGTCATTTTATCAAGGATACTTTTCAAGTGAAAGCTGTGCCGCAGTTCATAGCAACATTTTTTTGTTCTAAGTAAGATTTCATTTATCATGCCAAGAAAAGGGGAGAAAAGGAAAATATTTTATAAATTAATGTTTATATGATTTAATGTCACACTTGTCAGCTCAGTGCAGAAGATAGTAAGTCTAAGTTTATGAAATGTTCTTATAGAAATAAACAGTAAGATGGGTAAAATTCAGGCTCTCAAAACTCACAGCGTTACTTCCTGAATGGGAAATCACTGAGAGTCATAAAGTATACAAAAAGTAACCAATTTATTTATCAGCATTTACAGAAATGAATAATGGTTATGTAGCAGATATTTTTGAGTAGGATGTAATGAAAATATTTGCTTAATGTTACACTCAGACTTCAGAAATAGATAGCATGACATTATTGTTATTAGCACTAGTTTCATTCTGCTAATGCTTAAAACAAGAAGAGTGGGAACCTTCAAAAGTACTGCAGGTACACATATTTACAGGACAAATAGATAAGCTGGTGAAAGAAAAGGAAATTAAATGGATGACACTTAAAATACATCATGCCCAGGTAAAGACTGCACCCTTCCAGTGCTGTTCAACATCTTTGTAAGCAATATGGACAGTGGGATTGAGTGCACCCTTAGCGAGTTTGGCAATGTCAAGCTATGTGATGTAGTCAACATGCTGGACGGAAAGGATGCAATCCAGAGGGACCTTGAGAGGCTTGTGAGGTGGACCTGTGTAAACCTCATGAAGTTAAACAAGGGCAAGTATAAGGTCCTGCACGTGGGTCATGGCAACCCCTGAAATCAATACAGACTTGGGTATGAACCGGTCAAGAACAGCCCTGCTGAAAAGGATCTGAGGGTTCTGGTGGACAAGATCCTGGACATGAGCTGGCAGGGTGCACTTGCAGCCCAGAAAGTCACCCAGATCCTGGGTTGCATCAAAAGCAGCATGGCTGGCAGGTCAAGGGAGGGGATCTTGCCCTCTACTCTGCTCTTGTGGGATCCCACCAGTACTGTGTCCAGCTCTGAAGGCACAACTTAAGAGGAGTGTAAATCTCCTGTACTGAGTCCAGAGGAGAGCCACAAAGTTGACCAGAAGGCTGGAACACCTCTCCTACAAAGAAAGATTGAGTGTGTTGGAGTTACTCAGTCTGGAGATGATAAGACTGGAGAAAATTTTTAGCAGTTTTCCAGTATTGAGGGAGTTCTACAAAAGAGCAGGGGGCATGTAGTGACAGGACAAGGAGGTAATAGCCTTAAACTGAAGGAGGGTAGGTTTAGATTAGTTAATTGGGAGATATTCTGCCTGATGAGGGAGGTGAGGCACTGGAACAGCCTGTTCAGAGAGGTTGTGTACTCCCCATACATTGAGGTGTTCAAGACCAGGTTGGACAGAGTTTTGAACAACCTGGTCTACTGAGAGATTCCCTGCCCTTGGCAGGGGTTGGAACTAGATGTTCTTCAAGGTTCCTCCCAACCCATTCTACAATCTGTGTAATTATTGTGTCTGTGTTCATCACAGTGGACTAGTGTAATGTTTCAGCAGTGACCTGCACTGTAACACATCTAAAAATACCCAAGACTGGATATGTGGCTAGGAGAGTGAAGGTATACAAGCACTTAATCTTGTTAAGTTAGATTTACTGCTGATCATCATTTTTACCAGGGCGACCAACTTAGCATTGATTTTTACCAGTATTTCACGTCTTTGTGTGTGTGTGCTCATGTGTGTGTGTGCTCATGTGTGTGTGTGTGTTGCTTGCATGTTAAGTGAGCGTTCAGACTCGTCATGGGCCATAATTCTGTTCTGATGAACTCTGCTCAGAGACAGAGCTTGTGACTGTCGGGTGTACATATAAAGTATTAAGTGGAGGTGTAGTGCATCCATCAGCAGTTTCCAATCTGTGCATAAGACAAGCTATAGATGATGTTTAGGGAGTGTAAGGTCTACTCTGCCTAACCACACAGTCCCAGGAGGGACCAGAGCACCAGCACATTGATGCCTTCATATCTTGCATGCCTGAGAGCCCTGAGTATAAGCTGTCCTCTTGTCAGACTGCTCAGCTGGTATCCATGATGGGACATGTACTATGGTTACCAGTTCTCCCAAGGCTGTTTTTTTGCAGCAAGGTCAGGCTGGCTCAGTCTGCACAAAAGGAACATTCATGCACTGGGAGCCTGATGCTTCTCAATCTTTTGCGGGGCCACAATGAGAATTTTTCCAGACATGATTTGCCCTTGAAATTCCCTTTATCAGGTCCCACTAAAGTAATACTGTCCTATTTCAGTAAGGCTTTTAAAACAAATATAGGAGCTCTTCAATCAATACAGGATG